CCTGTCTGTCTGTGTCTCACCTGTCTGTGCGTGTCTCACCTGTCTGTGCGTGTCTCACCTGTCTGTCTGTGTCTCACCTGTCTGTCTGTGTCTCACCTGTCTGTCTGAGTCTCACCTGTCTGTCTGAGTCTCACCTGTCTGTCTGTGTCTCACCTGTCTGTGTCTCACCTGTCTGTCTGTGTCACCTGTCTGTCTGTGTCTCACCTGTCTGTCTGTGTCTCACCTGTCTGTGTCTCACCTGTCTGTGCCTCCGCTCCTTCTCCAGCCGCTCGGTCCTCTCCAGCCTCAGCCGGTCCAGCTCCAGCCGCAGCTCCTCGGTGTCCGGACTCAGGCTGCTGCGGCTCACCATCACCTCCAGGATCTCCAGAACCCGCACCACCTTGGGCATGAGCCTGGACAGAGCCTCGCAGCCGTACTGGTCTATTATCCGCTCGAACTCCTGGCCGACCACCGCCGCCATGTCGTACACGTCCATGACCGTGAGGTCAGCAGCGTTCTTCTCCAGGGCCGAGTCCTCCATGACCGGATGTAGCTGTGGCCACGGGAACTCTCCCCGGGAGGAACAAGTTGCCCGTAAAGTTTCGTCCTGCCGCTTCAGCGTCTCCAGCACGGTCCAGATGAAGCAGGAGGCAGCGACACATGTGAAAACTACCGAGGGTCCATGGTTTAACCGTGACTTCTGCTCCGGAATCTGTTTCTAAATCACCAATCGCTGCCCGCTCAGAAGCTAACAGCCGGTTACTTCCGTCACTGACTTCAAAATAAAGCTCGGCGTTTCCGGTAGCCACATTTCAAAATAAAACGTGCACGCAGATTTTTTTTTTTTTTTTGCGCACTGTTATGTGCCTGGGGCACATTTGCCTTATTGTTTTGTCCCTTTGGTCATGTTTTGGGTTCTGGGTTGGCTAATCAGCCTTTTCAGCCACACGTATTAAGAGGCTGGTCTCAGGGAGGGTTTTTGTTTTGTCCCCTTTCCCTCTCTTGACTCTCTCAGGGCTCTTACTGCTCTTTTTAGCTCTCAGACTCTTTTGGCTCCTCACAAACTCCACACATTTTTGGACTTTTTTTTTCTTGGGCAGCCTTTGTTTTTTCCCTCGATCTGGAGCTGTGGCCTGTGGCTGGCAGCTTTTCTTAAACTTTTTGCATATGTTTTGTAACTTTGGCCTGGTGGGACTGGTAGTCCTGTTTTCACTTGTTCTTTTGTAGTAGGGTTTTTGCAGTTTTTTTAGTCTGGTACCCAGTGGCTTTGAAGGCCCTGTATAGGGTTGGGAGGACACTGGCTGATTATTCCATCCTTATCCGAACTCTTACAGTGCCCTCCAGAGCGTCTATGGACATGCTCTCGTCGTCTCCCCCCTCTGCAGAATGTCTACGTCACTATGTGTTTGTTTGTGCGAGGTGTTTTTTAATATCAGAGTTTTTTTTCTCAACCAAGAAGAAAAAGTCTGATAGGAATTTTTTCGCTTCCAACTCCTACATGTGTCCAGTTTCACTACTTGTTGTCTGTCTAACAGGTCTCACTTGTAAATGAGTCTTTGAGGCTCAATGTGACTTATCTGTCTAAATAAAGGCTGAATGAATGGCCTGCTGCTGTACCTTTTTGTTTGTTTGGCCGGCTCTCCAGGTCCAACTTTAAGTTCATACTTTGAGTTTTGTGTCTTTTTTGGTAGACAAGGGAATTGGGGGTTCTTAATCTTTTTTTACAGGAAGCAGCTGTTAATAAATTGAGTGTTTTTGAACCCTCGTATTTGTGTCTCGTGTCCTCCTTTAATGTGTTGTGTTCTTAGTGGACGTAACATGCACGCAGAAAAGTTGAGTCAAAAGTCTCACTAATTTCATGTCATACATACGTGTGCTAGTATTGTACTGGTAGAATAACACTGTATATATATATATATATATCAGAGACAAGCCATCCTCAAAGAGACAAAACGTCCTCAGAGACTTTGCGTCTCTCCTACCCCTCCCTTTCTGCTCTGACACAGGAAGTTTCTTTTTACCCCTTCCTTCTCTGTGTGTGTTAAATCCACACCTGGACCACCCTGATATACCGACTACAATCTTGGAACCGCCTCTGTGCTGACTGGCCCTCTATTCTGAGTTGACCAGATTTTAGTCTCCAGAGAAGAGTCTCATCAAAGAAGTGACCTGTACCCGACTCACAAGAACTGCGATCGCCATAGCAACTAAGGAAGTAAAACCCCAGTTGAACAGAGATTCAAAGAAATGGTGTTTATGTAAAACAAGGTGTCACTCCTTTCCAACAAAGTCTATTGTGCATGTTCTGAGACTTTGAGAAGGGAGGTATAATTGCATTAATTATACAGTCGGGCCACACCCACTGTGAGAGGGCTCTGATTGGTTGGAAATTAGGGGCACAGTCTTCTGAGGTGTCAGGTAAACATCCTGATGCATGCTCAACAGGTAAACAGGTCATCAGGTCAGTTTTTTGGAGCAGCTGAGCTGAGCAGTGTTGTCCAAGCAGATGGAATGAGTGGTTGCTGAGACTTCATTCACTTTCTGAAATAATACTAGTGACTATTCATATCCACATTTCATATTTGCCATAAGCTTCATACTGTTATTATTCAAACTGACAAACGTTACAGAATTGTGCATTTAAATTACCGGATTCTTTGTTTTTCTTTGAGGGAGAGGAATTAAGTTGGCTACAAGAATTCAGGTAAATATATATTTGTGGGGTGAGGCCAGTCCACATTGCGGTTAGCGAACACACCTGTTAAAAGGTGCCCTGTCCCTACAGCTGATCTAAATGTTAACAGCAGTTTTAAGCTGATTTTGTGCCATCAGTTTGTATCATTATAAGTTGGGTATCAGTCTCTACCGCACGATTTTAGCTTAGTAACTGTTTAACAGATTAAGTTATGGCCATTTTGTTTATGCTCAGATCGCTTTGCTGTGGCAGCCATCTTGAATTTGATCGACTCTAGAAATTAATCAGTCGTAGAGGTACATTCAGTGATTACTTTCTGAAAGCTTTATTAAAATCCATTTAGGATATTTTGTTAATGGTACTGACAAACACACACACAAACAAAGGACAAATCATTATCGTTCATTTCCACTGTGGGTGATAATCATAAGAAAGCACTAAGAACAATTTCATGCTTTTTAATAAATCCATGATAATACAGGCATGACTTGTCATTCAGTTGTAAAACTCATAAAATACCAACAAATGTTGCTTTTAATTTCCTGCAACGTTTCATAAAACTAGAGGATAAATTTAGATTAAAAGAGTTATTCTCAATCACAGAAGACGTTTCTCCCTCCGGTGAGTGCTAAAATCATCAAGTTGTGTTCTTCTTCTTCAACCAGCCTCAAGACTCTCCAGTTCCAGTTTCTCCTCGTTTGAACTGTAATAAAAAATAAAGAACCAGACTCTTATGTACTCCATCTACCCACATCGTCATCTTATTGGCACATCAACTCTGGGCAGTGAAGATCTGCACTTACTGCATTTTTCAGCAAGTTTCCAGATTTACTGAAGATACTTGGTTTCTTGAAGACGTGTTTGCTTGACTCGGCTTGGCTTGGCTGAGCTGTCTGAAGTTGCGGAGATGGTTTAGGCTCACCAAAGCTTGATGAGAGTGATGCAGGTTGTGACGCCGAACGATGCTGAGACTGTGAGAAACCCTGAGGCGGCATTGTGGTGAACGACTGGGATGGAATGAAAGGCTGAGGTGGAACGTAGGTTTGTGAAGGTGTGTAGGTTTGTGAAGGTGTGTAGGTTTGTG